CGAAAATGACAACTTTTTAACCCAGGCACTGGCACTGGCACAGACACCCATCCCCCACCACCCCACCTTAAAAGTAGAAACGCCGCGGGTGTGCCAGCAATGGACGCGACTGTCGTTTCTCGGTCTGCCCTTGCCCCTGCCCCTGCCACTGCTTGCCTCCCAGCGACTTGTGTCGACTTTTAATGGTTTTCATCTTATTAGCAGCAAAGTTCTTTGTCGCCGCCGCATTCGCATTCGCATTGCCCCTCCCCCCGCTTGCCTCCTGCCCTGATTATGCATATGTGTGTGTGTGTGTGTGTCTGCGTTTTTGTAGTGTCACGCCCAGCTCTTCTAGCCTTCTAGCCTTCTGGCCTTCTGGCCTTCTGGCTTGCAAAATGGCTACAGATTTATTTGCAATTCCTGCTCATTTGCCGGCCCAAACAACAACACCTAAGCCCTCCCCCTACCCCTCGCCAGCCACCGTCCGGCACGCCTCGAATTGGGCTTCGGCCTGCGACTGGGCCTGGGCTTGGGCTTGGGCTTTGGCTTTGTCTTGGCCACTTTGGCAATGTCTTCGCCTGCTGCTCCTCTCGTTAGTTGGTTGACGTTTGCTAAAAGCAGATACCCAGTTAACCGTCCCCCCTCCCCATCAGCCCCGACACCAAGCTCTTTGTTTTCGCTGCTTGTTGCTCTGCTTCTGCTTCTTCTTTATATTCTTCCTCTTCTTCTCCATGCTGTTGTTGTTGTTGTTTTTGCCGCCGTTGAGGGCGCATAATTAAAAAAGTTTCATTTCATTTTGTTGGTTTTCTCGGTTCGTTTCGGCTGTTTATGTTCATTTGTTTTCTTGTGTAGGTTTTCTGGGGTTTTCGCAGCCATCGTCCCCCACCCTCCTATCCCCCCCCCCATCCTCTATTCTTACACTAGGGCGTCATCTTGTTGTCGTTTATTTTTTCTTGTTGTTGCTGTTGTTGGTGGTGTTGTTGCTTTTGTCTTAATGATTACCGCCTTCTTGCGTTTTTTGCATGCTTCGTTTAATTTAATATTAATTTAAGAAGTTGTACGAACAACTGGCCTTGAAGTGGGTGCGAATATGAGAGCCTGGGCCCTTGAACAATTTAAAATATTCTGTGCGTTAATGGGAAAAGAGTGGATACCATAAAGTGTACTGTTTAAGTGGATTTCCTAAATTTCCCCAAAAGTTAGATGAAACGAATTATTCTCATATATCCCCCTCTCTGCCACTTATCATTGGCGACCCGGGGAAAGGGACTATATTTAGATATTTGCAGATGTAATTTTATGCTTAACATTGTCATTATATTTGTAAGTATTCCTAAAGTTTCGACACTTCCGGATTTACTTATGACGCAATATAGCAATAAATGGAACACATTCAACTTACGTAGCTTGTTTTCCCTAAAAACTGAAGACCGGTTTCCTGCGAAAAAAAAACATTGGTTTTACTTTAGTTTATAGTTTGTGATTATTTTTTCAGTGACAGAACATACTGATTCTTGATATAAGAATTTCCGAGCTGTTCAAGCACTTGATTATTCTGATCTCCTCTTTTTCTTCTATGGGTATTGAAATGTGGAATGAAATATAGTAGACAAAAAAAAAAAAAATTAAATAAAAAGAAAGGAGTACATGAGGTATAAACAAAATCAATTTCGCGCCGTAGTGCTTCTGTTGGCATCGTTCTGTAAAAGCGAATAAGCCTTAAAAAGTTGTAGACTTTAAAGAATTACATTTTGGTTTCTTAAATAAATGACTGGAAGTACATGATGCGAGAATTTTAAGCAGCTTCTCTCGTATCCTGTGCGCTGGTATAGTTTTCACAAAAAATAGTGTCTGTTAATTGGCAGTTCCTCGACAATGTTTCGCACAACTGACAGGCAGAAGGGCAATCGCAAACGAAGTCATTACTATTTCTTCGATTGATTTTTTTTGTCAAAATTATGCATTACTTTCAGCAATTATAAATCAGTAATCGGAATCCTCTGACTTGCGTGATTAAAATGAAATAATGTCATCCATGCCATTACGATCTATACTATATAGGAGGGCAGTCCGAAATGTTTCTAGCCAGGCCATGAAGACGACTTTCTACATAAATCAAATCAATATTGTAATCATAACAGCAAAATTAATATAGAGAATGAAATATTTTACGTAATATAAAATATTTTAATGTGTTTCCGTCAAATTTTTAGCCATATCGATATTATAATTATCGTTCAACAATCGATGGACAGATTCTTATCGTAAATAATTATTTTGAGGATCAGGATGGCGAATATGAACTGGGCGCATCGGTGGGGAAAATCTTTTGAAAAAATGATTTCATTGTCAAGCTAAAAACATTTCGGTCTCTCGAATACCATAAGTACATTTCCATAGGAAAAAATGATACTTGTATTATACGTATATTAACTATAGGGAAATCTTGCAATGATGGCACGGGACGGAAGAGCAGCCGAGAAAGATTTCCGGTGCCTCCCGCATTCTTTTCCATAATTACAGTTTTTATTTTAAAATAATAATACTCTTTTAATGTTTAATCGGCGATAAAGGCGATCAAATTTAGAAATATATTTAGAAATGTAGAAATAACGGCAAGGAAATAATTTGTTAAAATGGAGTAATCGTGCCTTAACAAAATATAGGTATTTGTGTGGATGGCCGGTCTTTGTATAAATAAACAAGATAGAACGCTACAGTCAAGAAAGCCCGACAGTAAAATAGCCTGTACTCTCCACAAAAAGGAAAAATTTAAAAAAAAAAAAAATTTTTTTTAAATTAAATTATTAAAAAAAATGAATGAATTAATTAATTAAAATAATTAATTAAATTAGAATACATGTTTATGTTCAGTTTAAACGTACATCACGTACCTATGCGTGTTTATATGCGTGTATGTATGTAGCACAAAGTTGAACAAAAGCAGCAACAACAACAACAGCTACGGGCAGCGCTGCCGACAGAGTTGCAGGCAGCGCATGAGCATCGATTTTACTTATGGCTATAACTTTCTTCAGAATTGACCTATCATGATCACACGGACACATTAGTACTAACTGGATGTACCTACCAAAATTGATTTCAAAATTCCGAGAATTACGGAAGTTATAAGAAAAAATACGAATTGCGGGGGAGTGGGGGGGTGTATCAGAAAAAATAAACAAACTCGTTCTGCCTAGGGCTTATAGGAACCTTGATACCAATTTTGGTTATCCTAGCTCTTGTACTTACTGAGATCCTTGCGCTCATACAGACAGACGGACAGACGGATAGACGGTCAGACGGACAGACGGACATGGCTATATCGACTCGTCTTCTCATCCTGATCAAGAATATATATACTTTGTGGGGTCTGCCACGCCTCATTCTGTGTGTTACATACATGCGCACAAAACTAGTATAGCCTTTCACCCTTTGGGTACAGGCTATAAATATATGTATGTATACTTTTTTATGGTAAATTATTAAAATAGGACTTACCAACAAATTGCAAATGGTTTTGGAGAAAAAAGATATAGTATCGTTTGTGGCGGCTTCTAAGCAACTTTATTCTGTAATTTTATTCATATTTTGATTCTTTCTAATGCTTTTGATGTCTCAAAAATTCTGCAAAAATATATTCCTACATATATAATCTTAAAGTATATGTTAAAGTGCGGCTTAAGTTCAGCTTGCTGGCTTTATTTGCAACCACACGCCACACAAGTACACAGATACACGCATAGAAAATTTCAAATGCTGCGAAGATGTGGTGCTGCTTCCGGTTTGGAGTGCTTTCGCCTCCGCCTCCGCCTCCGCCTCCGCCGTTTGTAATGCCCGTCTGACACGCCTTAATAAAGTGCGGAGCAGTGTTTCATAATTTAGTATCTATGCGAAAAGGGCACGAGCGAGAGCTGGGCCGCCTTCGATTAGATGTACCGCCCCCTTCCGAGTCGCTGTCATAAGCCGAACGTTTGGTCTTGCAATGGTGCGCGCGTTTGGCATTCGGAATGTTTCGAAATGAATTTCACCTTCGCGCGGGCGAACGCACAACGGCCGCACACACACACACACACACACACAGAGAACAATAACAACAACAAAAAAGTCGCACGTCCTGGGTTCTTTGCAGCCACACTCGTATTCTTGCATACCCCTAATCCTGTAGTCGCGTATTTCCGTGGTGCTATTCCTGTTCATGTTTGCGCGCTTTATGAATATTCGAAATATGTGCCCGGCTGCGAAGTAAAACATACGGGCACGCGAGCGTGCCTTTATGACGACGACCTGCCCTTCTCGACCTGGGCGCCATGGCAGCCGTCGCCCATCGCCCATCGCTCATCAGCCATCAGGCATGAAGGACGGCCACAATAGTTGGTCACATTGCGTGCGGCATGCCTTCGTTCGTGGGTTGCCATGTTTTGGCTGAGTTGTCAAAGTCAGTGCGCTTATCAGTTGTTCGGGGCTTCAATGCTTGAGTGAAGCTCTCCCTGGATCTCTGTGCAACGCCAGACTCATTATGCAGAGCCCATTCCAGATGCCACCACTGCCTTCTCACCATAGTCCGCCGCCCACTCATTCATGCATTCATTCATTTGTGCCATTGCGGACGCATTTTTGCATTTTATCAGCCGCCAGTTTTGCGGATCTGAGAGTCGCGGCCCGCTTACAACTCCATGGGGGTTAATTCCACGTGTTGTAGTTCGATGCACAAAATTTTGCATTTGCCAACAGAGCAAATGGAAAATCTATAAATTCACAGCATAATTGCCCGACTGGTTGTGGGTTCGGGTCATTGGGTGGTTGGGTGGTTGGGTGGTTTGATTTGGGTGGCTCTCTGTGATTTGTGTACCGGTGGCAAATAAACTGCACAGCGCTTATGCGTCGCTGAGGCAAGTTACATAGCTGGTGGTTTTCGTTGGACTTGGATCTACTTGTAAATTGAACACTAATTAATTTTGCATCTTTCTCTCTCCCTCCCCCCTCTCTCTCTCTCTCTATGTACCTCTCGCACGACACAGGTAAAAGTTTCACACTGACCATTGTCATATCGACGAATCCCATACAAATTGCCACCTATACGAAGGCCATCAAGGTGACGGTGGATGGACCGCGTGAGCCACGCTCCAAGGTGCGTCATCAAGGCTTTCATCCGTTTGCCTTTGGGCCGCAACGTTTCGGCCCGGATCCTCTTATGGCCGGTCTGCCTTTTAAGTTGCCAGGTAAGCATCGCATCATCATCATCATCTACTGCTGGGGGGTTGGGTTTTATGTTCTAGTCCCGAACGTTCGCAACTAAGCCGCTTTAATGGATGTACCTATGTATGTTTTTGTAAACTGCCTCAAGTGCGTGGGTTATTGGGCTTTGGCAATTTGACAAGGCATATCAATAACGCAACACATTATCTGGCAATGGGTAGGCATTGGGGTGGGAAGCGTATACTTATTTTTGGGGCTGCCAGGCACCTTACGAAATGAGCTGTAAATAAATACCAGTAATTTGCTGCTCGAAAGGGTTGAGAACACAAGCTGACAACCGTTGCCTCTAGCCAATTGCTTAAACTTGATAGTACTCCCTCCCCCTCCCCCTCTCCCTTTCCCTTTTTTCCTTTGCTTTGGTGAGCTGTGGTGCCTGCCGGCATAAATTCAATTGGGGTCAGCTTTAACTCATTAGGCCTATTTGCATCGAAAGCTCGTAGGATATTGATACCGCCCCATATTCGGTTTAGCTATAAACCAGCTTCCGTTACTACGAAGAAAACTGCAAAAATATTGTGTAGTGTTCATACTTAAGAGCTAATTAGAATAGGCTTTAAATGTAGTATAGACGGTGGATGGATGAAGTCTTAAAGCTTCACACACCTTTCAAATATTTATTTTGTTGGAGTTTTTGGGTTTAAGCCGCGTAATAAATTGCATGACACATTTTGGAAGAGCCCGCTACCTCACTATGAAAAGTATAAAATTAAAAGTTTGAGTCAACGATCTATTTTATTTGCATTTGGTGGATGTAGTCTAAAAAATGTTGGAAAAATACTTTGTTTACTCTTGTAAGTTAGTAAATAGAGTACAAATAGTATAGGTTGCAAAATTTGTGATAAGTACTACCCCATGTCTATCTAAAAGTATTTTGTGATAACAATTCCATTTTCATTACAATCTTATACATACGAGTACATTCCACCCAACCTATCCCTGAATCGAATATGTCTCTCCTTTTTACCAAAATTATTCTTTATAATTTTTTGGGTCGCATAAATTCTAAAACTTGTTTAAGGGAAGCTTTTTTTTCAGGCAGGTTTTTTTTAATTTAATTTTTGTGTTTTAGTCCTAAAAATACTGATCGTTTAATTTTAGGAAATCCTCTTCAAGTAAGCCTATTATTAAAGCTCTCTCATCAATCCATTCTGCACAGTCAAAATTTTCCAAGTGTTAATTTTAGATTTATGCAATAATGTGAATGGTGCCACTCAGATGTTTAGCTTTTGAGGTTTTTCCCCTCACAACCTTCGATTTTATCCCACTTCTGGGCGGAATTTTCTAAAAAAAAAACTTTGAAGTGGCTCATAATTCTCATGCTAATTGTATTTACAATTAAAAATTGAGGCTTTTCGAAGATGTAAAAAGAAAGAAACGGGTTACCTCGTTTATTATGTCGTTTTTATTTGATCTGATAGGCAATGGTTTATGTAAGAGCTATCTGATAAAATATTTAAAAAGAAAAAAACAAAGAGTTGAGCTGACTGCAGGTTAAAAGGAAAACTCTTAAGCAAGCCAAACAAGAAGAATACTTTTCTTGGCCACTTCAATACAATTCTGACATAGCATTTCGGCAGAGGACTCACCATGAACGCAACCGGCTTTTTGGGAGAAATTACTCGTAATGTTTTGATAACTCACCAATTTGTACAGTACCAGCTTTATTCGCTACAATTAATCGATATATTAGCAAAATAATAAAAAGCTTATAATAAGAAAATGAAATAATTTGTTCTCCATATCTAATATTCAGAGATTCCGCTTATCGTTCTAAGTATAAGAATTATAATGCGAAATTATATGGAAAATGGGAATGACGCTCGTAAAAAAAATTAAATTGGTAATTGTTGATGACGATCGGTTTGATCGTTGATCGAATGGGACTCAACATACTGATTTCTTGATTTTTTTGGTATTGAGATTTGATTTAATTATAATTTAATTTATTTAATACGACATTGTGGGCTCTACAGCTATATCAAGTTAGCATCAATTTCGGTATCAAGGATGCACTAGTGTTTTTTTTTTTTTTTGTCAAAATGTGACAATTTATGTTTCTTATCATTATAGAACTTAAGGCTCTTTATAAAACAGTTTACGGATTACTGCATGATACCTTCATCATTCAGATCCAAGGCTTCATTTACAACTCAAGTCATTAGCATAAGGATGATGACAAATGAGCAGTGCCAGTCGAGTAGACAAGGGTCAGGGGTAGGCAGGAATACGCAGTGAGGCAGTCAGGCAGGCAGGCGAAGTTGTCTTTGAGAATGTCGATGTGTTTGTGCCCTATTTTCGCGCCCATAACGCACACACACACACACACACATACACAAAATGTTGGCATTGTTATACTATATATAGATACGCACACACATCAGCACAAAAGAGGCGACAATTATACAACAAAACAACAGCTTGAAAAATCCATTAAAATGATTTTAATCCTTTAACGAGTCACAAAACGGCAACGGCAGCTGTGTGTGCGCATCAATGTGTGCGCTCGCCCCTGCAACCCCCGGCGTTAAATTATTTTAAAGAGGCAACAACAATAAGAACAACGGCAGCAACAACAACTGCTGCTGCTGCTACGTCTGTTGCAACAATAAACACGCGATATAACCAGACTGTGAACAAGAAGGATAACGAGGGGGAAGGGGCATAGGCATAGGCAAAGGCAAGGCGGCGGCCGCTCCTCGATGACGGCAGAAACAACAACAACAACAGCAGCAACAACAACAACAACAACAACAGCAACAGTTACAAGAACGACAGCTTACTTTCGTCCCAAGCAACGCAGGCGTCGTCTGGTGAACAAATCGCGTTTGATACGCTTTGATTTTATTAAATTTTAACAATTTCGCTATGAAATTTATGAGGCGCGTTTCAATTTTGAGGATGGTGTGTAAGTGGGTGTGCGAGTGTGTCTGTGTGTGTGTGTGTGTGTGTGTGTGTATGTTAATACATATGTATTAGTGCCGGCCACATAAGTCCATACGCGAGCCTTCAGCTGGTCACAGAAGTTGCCAGACGACACAATGTTGCTACGCAAATAATTTAAAAATAAACTTTCTGCCAACTACTGCCTTTCTGGCAAAGTAAAATGATGACAAAAGGCCGGATAGAATGCAACAGTCGAGCAATCCCGACAGTGAAATACCCTATGTGTGCATAGTAGAAGCAACAGGAAGAGTAACATTTTTTCTTAGAACTGGGCGACTAACATTAATTTTCAATTAACAAAAATAATTACGTATTTATTATGAATGCAAAGTTTAGTTAATGTAGCTTTGAGCTTGTGGACAGTATTGACGAAATTCTATAGCGGGAGAAGGGGGAAAATTTAAGAATACACTTGTATTTTGTGGCCCTACCTCATATAGTCTCTGAGATTTAGACGTTTATACGGACGGACGGAAATGCTTACTACTGTCTCTTACATTTCACTTTGCAGACGTCTATACAACCCTTGTCCTCGGTAAAGGGTATAATAGGGCCGCCCGAAGTGGGAGTTAGGGGATCAAAAAAATGTCAAGCGACGACAGTTCAAAAACTAATATAAAGCTGCCTTTTCATTATATAAAGCCGTGTAGGAAATTAGCTCAACAAGTTTCCTATACATGACTTACTCGTAGGTTTATATTTATAGTACGAGTATAATATATATCAGATAGTAAAAGAGCTATTCGAAACAAACTTTGTATTCATATTATAAAAAGCACGGCCAGTTCGTGTTGTTTTTTTTTTTTTTTGCTATACTCCACTTACTTATTAGTTAATCCCCCGACAATCCTGTACTATGTGCTCTCCAACTAGTGCTTTTCTTATGTCAAGCATCATCATGATAGGTCAATTCTTAAGGAAGTCATTGCATATGTAATAGTATTGCATAATATTATTTGTATTTAAGCTGATGTAAATGCTAAGAAACTGTTTAAAGCTTCCATTTAGAAAACTCTAGCATTCCATGCAATGTGGTTTCATTTAGAATTCAATGCTACAACTACAGAAATCAACTTATTCGCTAATAACATTGAAGCCTTGTTTATGGCTTTTTTTGCACAATTTAGTATTATTATTTTTAATCGAAAAAGTGGGTAAGCTAAAGTCAAATTACTTCGTATGGGCAGGTTTTTGCTAATGCTGGGATCAGCTGTTAAGGGCGCTCATCGCCGATCGTATTAGACTTATCGTAAGCTGTGTAAACGAGGATCTATTAGCCGAAGCGTGCCCTTTTATTCAAAAAGTCATCGACAAACGCATTTGTAATGATAATGTGTGTTAAAAAAATGAATTGTTTAAACAGATAAGTTGGGCATAAATTCTGAAGTAAGTGAGCGCAAAGCACTGAGAGAAATAATTAAAATGTAATTCCTTCACCACTATTCTGACAGTCGTCAAGCTCATACATAACATATAGAATTATGCGTGGAATACCACATTGGATGCAAGTTCGATTTATAAGCTCTACATGAATGAAAGCAGAATTAATTCTTCCTATTTTCAAATCAATTTTTTTTTTTCAAAATACATCATTGCTTTCCTTATTTCGTCTGGCAAAACCTAACAAGTTAGTTAGCAGGAATAACACCATGTGAGTTTGTTCCTGAGTAGGCAGCAACCATCATGACAGAAGCATGATTGACGTTTCCAAGTTATCATAAAATGTATTTATTTATTTATAAACTTATTCCAACGGTAGAAGTAAGTTAATTTATGTTAAGTTATTACGCTAGTCATTACATTAATTTAATTTAATTTAGTTTTAATTGATGTTGAACATTGCAATTATTATATATATATTATATTTGTTTGTGTTTTTATTCGTATATACTCTTATATTTTTTGAAACATTTTCCTTAGCTTTAACTATTACCTTTTTTTCTTATTTTATACTATTAATTTTTATTTTATTAATTGTCCAACCCGAAATTAAGATTCCCAAAAATCATTTATTTTATAT